CATATTCCAACCACTATTTGGATTGTTTCTTAATATTGTTCCGGTTTTTGATTTTCTTGAAAGGCATTGAAAGATGGCAATGGCGATGACAATGTGAAAGTGTCGTAGCTGCTAATGTTGTTAGCAGCAGTATTAGGCATGAGTTGTACTGATTTTGTTTGTGGGGTTGCTTAGAATTCCAAATACCAACCATTTCTTGAAGAAGCCTTACAGGTAATATAATACATTCGTTCCATTTCACACCTCTTTTGGTTCTTGTTGTTCTGAAAAGGCGTAAAAAATGTTGATGATCGTTAAAGCCTTATTTAGTACAACTTCCCATCTTTTTGGCTGAACTTGAATCCAGTGTGGGCTTTTGTTTCTCCTTGATCTATTCTTTTTTAGTTTCTTTATAGTTCAGTTCTTTTGCTTTCTCTGCAGCAGGTTGTTACTTCTGATCTGACTATCCTGTCTTTTGCTCTCTGTTGTGGTTTGTATATTTCTACATTTGTATAGTTTTCAGGGTGTGGTAAGTTTTGCTCTTCTACGATTTTTTCTTATAAATTACTTATGTGTACATATTGTAGTTTTACCTAATTTTTTGTTTGTGACAAGTGACTACATATAAGCATATATACACATTAATCAATTTTGCACTCAATTCAAACTTTCGTATTCTTTTCATGCCTTATTCCTTAATCCTTAGAAAATATCTAGTACAAAAAATAGAAAAGTTGCATAGATGTCTTGTAGGAATCATAAATGATTAAGATTGGAAAAAAAACATGCTAATAAAAGGGCTAGAAAATGCGGATTATATAGACTATTGCCACCTGACAAGAAAAATCTCCTTAAATGTGACAATGAGCAAACATAGTTGAATTAAGGTTTTTTCTGTGACAGTGAAACAGAATTGGGGATTTTTTATAAAGAAGAACAATTAGTATCTATGGTTTGATTCGGAGGGATAATATGTATCTCTGCAGGAGAACAATTATGTTCCATGTCTCGAAGAACTGGTTGTACGATATGGAAGATTAGCAAAGGATTAAATTAGCATTCTGACTATATTGTCATTTTTAAATATTTCACCTATTAACATACAAGTTCTCTCATGTGTCTATAAGCTTAAGCCTTTGGGTGTTTTTTCATTACCGTGGCTCTGAAAATCCACCATGTAGTTGTAGAAACTCCACGACTTCTTCAGTTTTTATTCAATCTTTTATCTTAAATTTTCTTTTGTTTTCCTTAATCTTCTTAGGTGATGGTATATTTTCAGATTAGCTTCTCTTGATGTATTTATCAAAGCTATATGATCCTGTTTTTCTGAAACGACTTATGTAATCTTCTCAATATTTTTCGCTTTGTTTTGTTTCACCTTCGTTGTTTCAGTACTGCTATCATATTATCTCCATCAACAATACAACAAAGCGGAAATATACTTGATAGTTTTCTGTTTAAGAATAAATAGTTGATCACCTACACTGAAAATAGCAATAGCAATAGCAAATGCATTTGCTGATAGAATAGATTGATACAAAATTTATATATGTAAACCGTTAATTCGCTCGTATGTTTATATCTTGGGTTGAAATAACTTTGTGGCATTTAAGTCTTTCTAATATGAAGGGAGGATATCACAAATCAAATACATGCATTATAATCTTTTGTTACAGTTGACAGATATAATTTTTATCGCAAATTATAGTGTGAAGTCTTATTCACACACTCTTTTTTCTCTAATTTCAATTACTACATCATTATTGAGCTCACTAACTATTATAATTGAACCAGTAAGATTTGTATGAGAGGTGAAATTGATATGATGCACGATGTCGTTATAGAGGTTGTATAAGTGTTTATATTGATCTTAAGCTCGATTTATTTGTAGATTTCATTGGATACATAAAATTTATTGAACATCATTGTAATTATTTCTTGTCACAATGTCGTCGTTGCCGTGGATCTTCTATTTGAAGCTCAAATTTGATTCTGATTTACTTTTCAATTTGATTATTCTTAAATTTTCTTTTCCCCCAAGCTAATGTTATATTCTTTGTTGCTTGCAGTCTTCTATTTGCAGGTTACTTTGTCACGAGAAAAAAATCAACTACTTCCTCCTCAGAGGTCTTCATCACATGTATTGGATGTCTCAAAATATTCATTTCAAAGTAAGTTACACATTAATCATCTTATCTTAAATATGATTGCATATTATAACATATTTGGTCATCCATGATTCCCTGGCTTGCAGCAAAATGTGAACTTCTCTCTCTCTCTCTCTGTAAAACAATAGTTATTATAGTAATGGTTGCTCTAGCCGAAACAAAAGGTTGCATCACATACCCCGACATTTTCAGATCCATCTTATCCACCTGGTAATTGTAAATATCATTTTTGTACTTCTACTTTGTTGGCCTCTAAACACAACATTTTTCTTTGGTCTCCCTTTTTCTACTTCTTTTCTCTTTCCAAATTTCAACTTTGCATATGCTGATATGTCTCCCTTTTTAATTCTATTTTTCTGATCATTTTTCTGTCAACCTTCAGTTATTCTATGCCAAACATATAGATATTAAGAAGATTTTAAAAATAAAATAAAAATAATAGATATTTTATTTGACACAGGAATTGTATCTATAAGAATCACATGTATCCATCTTTCTATGGTTTTATGTAGACTTGCTTAGACATTCTTATATTTCAGGAAGGAAAAACATAGAATGTTGTAGTTGTAAATATAATTCTCCTTCTCGCTGCTAGAACATACAATAATTCTTCTATGAATCTGTCTGCAATGCATTAAAGATGTAACTGCTATGACAAGCTCTCAGTAAGTGCAATTAATTCTTAAAATTAAGTTATAAATTGTCTAAATCTTCTTTATATCCTTCATTCTAAGTAGCATTAAATTTTTATATCTACTCATCCATCTTGCTAAAGTGACTATTTAAATTTATAATCTAATATGCCTGAAATAATAAATATTGTTCATTTAGTTGGGACTGATATAGCATAATTTTTAAATTATTGTTTAGGGATGAGACCAAAAAATGTGCTGATGGTTTGCATAGTATTCTGTTTTATATGTTTCTATAGCTCAAGTAGAAACTATTGATGGATTGTAGGAGGATATCTGATGCGAAGAGGATTGGAGGAAGAGTCTAAAGCAAGATACAAATTTATGCAAGCATTTGTGGAAAAAAAAAATACTTCATGTATTCTATTTTAATCTCCGAAGCTCTCGATTCAAAATGACTGATTGACAGAGTTTGTAGATGGTCTGAATTTTTTTATGAGCAATGATGGGAACATAAATGTCTAGTCTATATAAACATAAATGTTAGATATCTTGATAGAATTTTGTGATTTTTATATGCATATAAATTTTAATTACTCTATGTTTATATAAAAAAAATATGGAGAGAAATTTTAATCAGATGATTATAAGAGGGATGTTTTCAGGAAATTTTATAAATTGAAGTTTTAGATGGCATGAGGGACACATTGTGATGTTTTTAGTTAGTTGAAAAAATTGGTTATTTTTGTGGAAAGTGAAAAATGTATGGCGTTCCACATTTGTTTCTTCACAACTACTACATATTGTGTTCCTCTTTTGTATAAATAGGCGTGGATACATTCTTTTTAAAAATTTCAGATGCTTTTATTATCAAGTTATATGTGCACTAGACCTTTCAAGCACCAAAGTCATCTCGCTATTTAGAGGTCTATGAGAGCTTTATTTTGTCCATGTGAATTCTTGTTGATTTGTAATTTTTTTACCATTTTTTGTTTTAGAAGGATGGCATCTTTTTTAGCCAATTCAGGGAATAAAAACACATTTTATTCAAATTAAGCCATCCATCTATTAGATTATCTGAATATATATGTTATTTAATTTCGTCGTTTGAGACAAACAAATGAAGAATATGTGGACTTCCATTATTGGGGGGTGCTTTGCACGGCATACTTATCTAGTAAAATACATATATCTAATATCAAAATACTCTATCTACTTCTACTTCTACTACTATATATATAATAAGTGGCAATAACCACACAGCAGGTCAACATGTCAGCTTAGAGTCTTTAAAAATAATTTTGAGTGCAATATGGTTATTCTTTGTTACTTTTTGTGCATTGTTTTGCTTGAGAAGGGGATTCTTTGTCTTTTTGGAGCTTCAAATGACAAAACTATCCTGAACTTCTACTCAATGTCACATAACTCCCACCTTTTGCAATATGATCCCTAAAAGGCATTTTGGTAAATTTGCTAAAAATATTGTTGGCCAAAAACTGATCTCATCGTACTCTCTATAATCTTTTTGCACACTTGGATCAATTTGCCCATATCATCATTCATCATTATGTATTCTAACCATTCCAACTGAAAAAAATACTTAACAATGTTAGAATCGTTAGCTTAACTGTTTCAATTTATACTATTCACTTTTTTTTTAGTCGGTCTTCATAAGATTGTTATATTTCTATATTTGGTAATAATTTAATTTTAAAATGCCCATTTTCTTCATAATGAAATGATTTATAGTCACATAAATATTTATAACTTATTTTAGACTATAAGTTTCATAAATTTTTATTTTTGTTTAAACTTCATATCAAATCAAACTACATTACATAAATTGGGGGTTAGAAGCAGACACCCCCTTCTCGACATATCTGCTTCTAGCTGAGTTGTTTTTATGAAATTTATGTGCTTTTCTTCATTTTAATTTGTATGTTTTACTTTTCTTTTTAGTTTGCTATATATTTGAAAATTACTGTTGACACCTAATTTTGGCCTAACATTTTCAAAATTCGTAACTTTTAAGTTTTATTTATTTAATAGTTCAAAATAAATTTTTTAATAAGTTTATCGATAACTATCCTTATTTAGCATTTTTTATCAGTTAATTTTAAAATTGCATTTTTACATGTCATTAGTTACGTTAATTATACCTTTTTTAATATTCATTTTATTTGTTACATTTATTAATATTCATTCTGATATTTTACACAATCTAAAAATTAATTCAAATACAAATATTTTATTTGATCGATAATTTTGAGCCACAATTCCAAGCCCATAAATTGAACCCATTTAACAATTATTTCCTATATAATGTTTGGTTAGGTTAAAAAATAAGTGAGGGTGAATTATTTTTTAGGAGGGACGAATTTCCAAAAGGGAAAACCCTAATTTTTTACTCTCCCATTTTTTCTCCCTCAGCCTCCACCACCCAAAGACCCCAAAACAAGCCATCTCCATACCATTTTTTTTTTTTTTTTTTGTAATCAAAACCCCAATGATTTTTCTTCCATTCTCACTGACTAGTGAAGTATCAACGCCAAACAACCCCTTTTTCCCTTTCCATTTTCCGGCGAACCATACCGAAAACCCCTTTTCATTATCCTCACGTTGAGCTCCAAGCTCCAATCTCTCCGGCGAACTACCGATTTTTAGTGAGCCACCAAACGAACCAGACCACTAACAGCCTCAACGGTTAGCTCAAGCTCCCTGGCGAGATAGAAACCATACCACCAACAAGCACCACCTCAAAGGAGCGGCTCCGGCTTCGGTAAACAACAATCAGAAGTTTCAAACTCCGAGATCGGTAACTTTTATTACTTTGTTTCTTGTTATTAAGGTCTGTCTTTACTGTTTTAGTGTTCATGAATGATGTTTGCATCCATTATTTTGTTTAGTTTATTTTGACTATTGTGATTAGCTATTCTTAATTAGTTTGTTTATCTGTGGCTAATATTCTTGATTAGTTTGTTTATTTGTGACTAATACTAAAGTTATTATTAATTAATGATAGTTTGTTTTCTCCCAATTTCTTAAAATGACACAGTGATGATTTTTAATTGTTAATTAAATATAAGAGTGTTGGTTAGTGTGATTTTCTTTAAGTTGTTGATTTATTTTACCGATATTATCATGCATTTGCTTTTCTTTCTTTTTTTGTTATTATTATTATTTTTTATTATTATTATTATTGTTATTATTATTAGTAGTAGTATATTGTTTATATTGAATTATATATGTACATTGGGTTGCGATTGTTTTACATTTAAAATTGATTTTGTGATATCCTAAGTTTTAAAGGTTATTATTATTTGGTATTTTAGTTTCTAAATTTGTTATATGCTTGTTGGGTGGGTTTAACTTTGTTTATGAGGTTGTAGTATTTTCCATTGAAAGTTCATCTTCTCCGTAATATTTCATTATGTATGCTCACTATTTGTCTCATTAGTTTATTTATTCACCGTTATTTCATTTTTATTTATGTTTGGCTACTGTTAATTTGGTTAGAGTGGATGTCACACATTTTTATTTTTATAAGAATTCTCAGTGAGTTATATTGTTAATGTTTGGTCATTGTTTCTACTTTATGTTATCTTTTTTTTATTTTTTTATTTTGTTTCTATTAGTTTTTTTTTATTGGATTTTGTATTTAAAAATGTTAAGTTAATTGGCCAATGAAAAATCTCTCCGTCGGTTTTGGAGGCCTCCACATTCCAAAAGACGAAAATTTAGTTTAAGTTCATATATTTTGTTTGTTCAAAATGGTCGATGAAGAAATTACCGTCGATTTCCAAGGCATCCTATGTTAATAAGACGGGTTTTTATTTTTAAGTTATTATTTGATTCATTTATTTTTTATTCATATATATTTAGTACTAACACTTTTACTAAGTGTCTTTACAGATACCCCGAAGTCGGTTGTTACCGAAATCATTCGAATAAAGTTCGAATACTATATTAATTATTATGTATTTTGTTGACGATAGACAAATATTAGGTCGTTTCTCATATTACTTGTTTACTTTATTACTTGTGTATATTGCATGTTTATTATATTTGTACATTATTTTATTCTCCTTCTCAATTTGAAAAGATGAATTCAGTCGGGACCCACAGTTGTGGATTTCGAAGGATGCCTAACACCTTCCCTTCGATATAACTTGAACCCCTTACCTAGAATCTTGGTTTCGTAGATCACTTAATGACTTCCTAGTTTTTTCCTAAAATTAGGTGGCGACTCCTTTAAAATTCGTTTATTCTTAAAATTCTTTCAAAATTGAATCAACTAATTATTTTTTGAGTCACCGCGACGTTTCGCCCTATTTGAATAGAGTAGGGATGTAAACAATTACGTAAAAAAAATACTATAACTAACAACTTAAAATATTTTAAAGATATATAAAATAAAAAAAGATTGACTCTCAAAATTCTATTGATACAACATAAATTGGAATGGAGGAAATAACATTTATACTAGTATTTTAAGATATTGTAAAAAGTACTACTATAAATCACAATAATTAACAATTTTAAATATTTAAAAAAAGTAGTTATCTCTTAAAATTCAATCAGACCTGCCTGTCATCAAGGGTATATTCATCATTCTTGTTAATTTTAGGTTGCACTTGTTCCCAATCTGCCACATTAGCAGCTTGCTGTAGCCTTTTAAGCTATTTCAGCTTTAAGAACGATTTGTTCTTCCTAAATTCTTGATTTCCTTCTTCGATTTTCCCTTCTCAGTCCCCTTTTTCCGTCTGGCTTGCAGTTGGAGCTTCCTGTTTCAGTCGACCGATCTGATTTACAATTTGTGAGGTTCGATATTACTTCTCCTTCGAATTTAATTTCTGCTTTCCTTTCCGTGATACTTGATGAAATTTACGTTCACAAACATTTTGGGTACATAGTTTTGACCTTATGAAAAGGAAGTGATAGAAAATATTTCTCATATACTACGAGGGTTCTAAACCAACCCAATATAGCTTATATCAGCTTCACGTACCCAGAGGAAGTCGGCGGCGGTTCCCTTTATCGACTCCGGCGACGGCGAAAAACCATCTCTGATGGTAATGATGGGTAAGAAATCATCGAGGAAGAATGGAGTTGGTAAAACACCTGGTTCAATTACATTAAGAGAAGAATCAGGTGTGAAGAAGAAACAAATTCATGTTAATGCGAAATCGATGCTGAAATTGGAGCATATAAAGGATATTGCTACCTGGGCTAGTGGCGAAGGTTACATACCTTCACTTGGTGCGTTTTTTGGGCAGAGATTAGCTGTATCAATTGAGTCTTTGGGTGTTCCACCTGACCCTTCATTATTTACATGTCAAAGGTTTGAGCTTTTTATAAACTTTTTATTTGATTTGTCTTGCATTTATGAATACATACTTTGTTAATTTTGTGATGGGTTGAAAAATGGATATTTGTTCATTAATGGATGTAGGGGTATAGTAAGAGAGATAGGATTAGAGATTAGTATATTCGGGATAAGGTAGGAATGGTTTTGGTGGAGGACAAGATGCGGGAAGCTATACTGAGATGGTTCAGGCATGGAGATGCAGATGCACAAATGTGTGAAGGTGTGAGAGGTTGACTATGGTTAGTTTTAGGAGAGGTGATTAGATCAGATATGACGTAGTTTTTAGCTTATTGAGAGCATGACCTTAGATTGGAGCTTGTGGAGGACACAAATTAATGTAGGAGGTTATAGAACATTACTAGGTAGTAATGTGTTGTATTGCTATCCGTCCATACAAGTAGTTGTAATTTCTGTTACTATCCTTTGTTTCTTGAACATTGATTATCGTATTATTTTGTTGTACTGTTCAAAATGCTTTGTTATGCTTTCACTTTAGCTTATTCTCTTTCTGGACTGCTTTGCACTGTTTTCTTGAGTCTATTGGAAACAACCTTTGTATCCTAATATAGGAGTCAGGACAAGGTTTGCCGGCACTCTACCCTCCTAGATCTCACTTTTTTATATTGTACGAACCAGTGTAGAAACGACGTTCTATGATGAATTGCACCGGATCACACACCTCAAGATCTCTCCGGCGCTAAGCATGTTGACAACTTTAATTTCTAGGCCATCCTTTAGACGAGGAATATACATGAACACCATGGAGGTTAGGAAAACAGGAACAGTAAAGACTAGACTCCAGAGAAAGGACTGATGATACTGTTCAATTTCATCTCTTATCCAGGATACTTTCCCTTCAGGAAATGTCACTCCCGTGAATTGTCCTGAACTAGTTGACTCAACTGCTTGAATAAATTTTTGAGGTCCTGTGACGTCTGATCGGTAAGAAAGGGGATATCTTCTTCTGCTTTGTAGCAATATCAGGGTCTTCAACTCCTGCAAGTGCTCTAATAGAAGTTTCAATAATCCTCATGAAATTGTCAGTGAGTGCTCCATCAAATCTCTCGCTTAAGTGTAACCAGAACATCAAATCCATAACCAATTTCTTTTTTCGATACTTGGGAAATCCTCCAAGTCCAGCGATGCACGTTCCGAAACTCATTGAATAATATGAGTGTCATCTACTCCTCTCCTTTTTTAATAGCATGCTTTTTTCTGTAGCGGGGTTCAAATTTGTGATGTGTCGAACCCACAAATCATGAGCTACACTCTTATAACTAGATCAAAGGCCTAGGGGAAAGCTATAACCAACTAGTTGGTATCACTCATAAGGGTTTTTGCTTTCACCATGTTCTAAGCTTAGCTAAATCTGCATGGATTTCTAGAGGTTGTACGACTAACTAAATAAAAGTACAGAAAACCAAAAAATGACTTGGTCCTTCATGTTCTATTAGTCTCATCTTATTTATACCTAGTTGGTATTTTTTATATCTCAGGACTCAGATTCTGGAAGAGCACTCACGTGTTTTTTTAGTACTTCACATTTATGTGTTACATAGCTAACTTCTGAGTAGAATAAGTTGTTTTTCCTTCTTCTGATTTCTACTATTTCAAAAATCACAATGTATGTGTGGAGTTGATTTATTCTTCTTAAAAGTTTATACTAATCACTTTGAATTTTGGCCACCTTCATGTTGAATGAGTCATTGTCTACTTTTCATCCTTTTTCGAGGCTTGCATACTAACTTATAATTGATATTTCACAGGTGTGAATCTATCCTTCAGGCTGGCTACAATTGTACAGCACGGATTGAGAAGAACAAAAGAAAGGCACGAATGAAACGCAAGACATCCGGTATTCCCCCGAAGAACTCAGTTGTATATGAGTGTCATTTCTGCTCACATCGGAATCTAAAGAGAGGAACCCCAAGAGGCTATATGAAAAGCCTAAATCCTGCTAAACCAAAAACTTTAACAGTTGACCCTGCTAAATCAGCAACCCGAAAGGCAAAAGTTGATCCTACTGAATCAGCAATGCAAAGATCTGAACATTTGCGCACGTTAGTGGCCAGTATCTATAAGGCAAAAGTTGATCCTATTGAATCAGCAATGCATAAGTCTGAACATTTGGATACATCAGTGGCTAGTACTGATAAGGCAAGAGTTGATCCTACTGAATCAGCAATGCTGAACATTTGGATACGTCAGTGGCTAGGATCGATAAGACAAGAGTTAACACTACTGAATCAGCAACCCAAAAGTCTGAACAGTTCGATGTTTTAGGGGGCAGTACCACAGATGTAATTGTTTCATCTGAACTAGTTGGAGATGATCCTATGGCTGGTCCTGCAACTCCATTGTCAACAGTTACGGTTACTTCTCTGTTGGATTCGAAGAAGAGGAAAAGAAATAGAACAGGGTCCAAGAAGAAAGCTGAACCTCAGGATGGTTCATCCATGACAGATGCTGAGAAGACTGTCTCAACATCCAGTAAGAGAAAGAAGAAGTCTTGGACTAGTTTGAAGGAAATTGCTGAAAGTCAGAGTAGCAATAGTAGGAAGTTCTCCAATATATCTGTTCCATTTATTCTTTGATTGTGAGAATTGTATTTTGCCTGTAGAGCACCCCCTTTTTTGGGGGTTTTCACGCCCGGTGTCCGGAGCTCATATTGGCGTGCTCTGACTAAATTCGAATCACGCACTGCAGGGTCCATTGGGAGTGACACTCCCTAACATATTTTCTCTCGTAAGTTGTAACAGTAGTTACTGTCCAATATTATATGAGTATTTAGTGTACTTTGACAATTGTTTAGTTTCTTTTTGATTTATAATTTTTTTTGGAAAGTTCTTGGTTGTTTAACTAAATGTTCGTCTTTCTACTATATTAGAAGCATGGGTAACAACATGGTATCAACATGTCTGTTTATTGTCATTTTTTAATTTGTCAAGGGAATTTTCGTCATTTCAATCATATCCTTGCTTCCATCTTTACTCCACGTGGTAATGTAGTCATGGCTTTACTGGGCGTGGCATTCATGCCTGCTTCTACCAGCTCCATCTCAGTGCTCTCATGAGTCTCATCTATCCACTGATCAAGAGGAAGATAAAAGCTTATGCCATATTCTCTGAGTGCAACTTCAATTTTCAGGTAATTTGACACATCTCTTTTTAATTTTTGGCTTTAATTTCTTAGTTCTTCGCATGCTTTCACCTCAATTGTCTTTTGGTTTTAATTTTTCATCAGATATTTTTTTAATTTAGTTTTAAATAAATGGGTTGGTTTATATATATTGTGATAATTTTCTCTGGTTTCATCTAATCTCTCAGTTAATAATAATTTCTATGTTCAAGTTTTATGTGTTTATGATTCTATGGCTCTAGAGATTTGTGTAGGCTGCTATGCACGGGTAGAACACTTTACGTTGTTATCATCACATCTTCTCAACTCTGCTTATAGTTTCTCGATATGTATCTCCTTCACTTTTTGATTTTGTGTTCTACATAGTGATTGTTGTGCTTTTGGGTCTGATTGTTTGGGTTGAAGTTCTCTTTTATGTGTTCACTTGTAATTCTATTGAGTTGAATGTCAGGTGATACATTCTGCGTTTAAAGAGAAAAGTATACTTATCGTCCTTCAATTTTGTTGATTTTCTATGTGCGAGAAACGAAATCATATGGTTTCAGTTTTACTTATATTTGCAAATTGATTTTTTGGAGTTCTGTGTGATTCAAGGGAAAAGAAATTAAAGGTTATTTATTAGATTCATAATTTTCGTTATACTCTCGGTAAAAGTAAGGGAAAACAAGCATGCTGCTTTTGAATATTTCTCAGCTTTTGCTCTATAGATGTTTGTAAAAGTTCTCCAAAGAAGCAGCCTCTTTCGATTTCAATTTTCTAATGTAGCTTCTTAATTTTTGTAATTATCTGATAATTTGTTGTAAAATGTCACTGAGTTAAAACAGGGGAGGAGGAGTTGGCTATGGATTTTTCCGAGATAGTTAACCACTTTTTCCACCATAAGTCTTGGATTATTAAAGTAGATCTTTATCCTACGGCTAGCAGCTTATGTGAAACTTAATACAGAAGATAGACCAGCTAAAATGAGAAGTGACATGGGAATTAACTACCATTTTCTCAATGAGGATGAGGGGTTTGTGGATCATACATACATTCTTCGAGCTCGAACGAAGTGAAAGGACTGAAAAGAAAAAATAGCCAAACAAGAGTCATTTTAAATGGTTCACGACTATGCCTTTTTTTGTGCGTCTGTGTTGAGTCATTCATTACTTTTAACCCCTCCAAAGACACACTTGTCTATGCATTGTACTATAATGGTCAATTTAACTCATTAGTTATGCAGAGTTTTGGAAGTCTTGTACTCTGATTACTTACTTGCAAGTTTGAATGACCATCCATATATGGTCGGATGGTCCTCCTTATTGTTCTCATTTAAAATTTTGTGTTTTCGTCAAATAAATTTCGTTAAATATTACGCATTATTATTGTAATTTATAACATAAGTATGCGGAAGATGCTGCTTTACTAGTGGAGATTTTGTGTTGAATGCCCAACTCAACTGTAACTGAGAAGGCCATATTTTTATTTCTGGTAGTTAGTTGTTGGCAAGGCAAGGGAAGGGAATAGGGAAAAATGATTTTGTTTTCTGTTACTTTGCAGCTTCGAGTTCATTGTGTTTAAGCCCTTGGAACTCCATTTAAAGTATGGTTGGTTTGTCCATCACAAATGCCAAGAGTAGATGTGTGTCTTATCTAAGGTCCCTTTATTACATGTGCATTGTAGGGAGCTTGTTCTCCCAAATATTGCCAAATTTATTGAACTTCACAGTTGAAAAACGAAAGAACACTCGGATCATAGCTCAAACACTCAGATGCAAGCTTGTGTTAGAATACAAATTTAGAAATTGTTGAAACAATAACATGATTTTAAATTGTTAATATACATTACCCGTAGTACACCGACACACATTGATGATTGCACAAAGTAGCAAATTCTTCAAAAATAATCCACATATGTTTGTGTTATTCATGTGTAACGTACACTAAATTTGGAAAGTACGAAAGTTCCATTCATTATACAACAAATTTGGAAATACAAAATGTTTGACTACACAGTCGCTAATTAATTAACCAGTTAGAATTATGAATTAGTCCTTGGGATAAATAAAAATGCGTATGAAAAACATTATTATAGTATTTCATTATAATGATTAAGTTCGTTTCAAAATCAATTACGTTATATTGTTTACTCTTAACACGCTTGAGTCATGGAGTATGGTTGATATTACTCAAAGTTGTTATAACGACCTGATGCAATTTTAAATGACAAAAACTTGTGAAAGTATTTATGAATAAAACACCTAATAATAAGGAGAGAGGGAAGAGAGTAGAGAGAGACGAGTTGTATATGTATATTTGTATATCTGGCGAACGAGATTGAGAGAGGGAGGAGAGAGGCGAGCGAGAGAGGGAAGAGAAGCGAGTTGTATATGTATTTTTGTTAGATAATTATATATGTAACTGGTATACATATGTAATTGTATATCTGGCGAGCGAGATCGGGAGAGGGAGGAGAGAGACGAGCGAGGATAGAGGACAGAGAGTGGAGAGAGACTAAATGTATTTGTATATGTGTCATATATTTGTATATGTATATGTATAATTTGTATTTGTATATGTATAAAAGAGGAGAGAGGCGACGTAATTACATCTAAAATTAAGCTGTGAGTTGTAATTAATTCAAACTATAACTATATTAGCTAATTAACTAGTATATGTTTGCTTATCCGTGTAGTTTTCCATAACTAATATATATAAACTGTAGTAAAATTAATTAAAAATTTGAGACGTAATTCTTTAAATTTGAATGGCTAATAGATATGTTGATTATATCTTGTATTTATTACTATAAAATTACTAATTTTTAAAATTGTTTTTAACTTTGTGAGGTAAGTGTTAAGTGTTTTTAATACTATTATTTTCCCTATGATTCACTCACTTCATCTAACACCGTGAAAAGAAGTCATTTTTTTTTTGTTAGATACCGTCATCCAAAAAGAAGTTAATTTGTAAATAATATATGTTACTTTCTGATTGAATTTTAAGAGATAACTACTTTTTTTTAAAAAATGTTTTTTAAATATTTAAAATTGTTAATTATTGTGATTTATATTAAGTTTTACAATATCTTAAAATAATATATGTTATTTCCTCCATTCCAATTTATGTTGTATCAATTGAATTTTGAGAGTCAATCTTTTTTTTTATATATCTTTAAAATATTTTAAGTTGTTAATTATTGTAATTTATAGTATTTTTTTACATAATTTTCAAATATATAGCAAACTAAAAAGAAAAGTAAAACATACAAATTAAAATGAAGAAAGCACATAAATTTCATAAAAACGCTTAGCTAGAAGCAGATATGTCGAGAAGGGGTGTCTGCTTCTAACCCCAATTTATGTAATGTAGTTTGATTTGATATGAAGTTTAAATAAAAATAAAAATTTATGAAACTTATAGTCTAAAATACGTTATAAATATTTATGTGACTATAAATCATTTCATTATGAAGAAAATGGGCATTTTAAAATCAAATTATTACCAAATATAGAAATATAACAATCTTATGAAGACCGACTGAAAAGAAAAGTGAGTAATATAAATTGAAACAGTTAAACTAACGATTCTAACATTGTTAAGTATTTTTTTCAGTTAGAATACATAATGATGAGTGATGATATGGGCAAATTGGTCCAAGTGTGCAAAAAGATTATAGAGAAAGTACGATGAGATCAGCTTTTGGCCAACAATATTTTTAGCAAATTTACCAAAAT